GGGGGGGGGCACCATCTGAGCTGGAGTCCTAGTTCAGTCCCATGGGGGAGGGGAGGGGGGGGGGGGGGTGGCATCGTGGATGTGACTTGCACACTCTGTCATCGTGGGTGCAGACTTCAATATGCCGTCCTACACAGGCCAACATGGAGAACAGACTCATTCATGGACTTTGGCTTTGCCCTTGACCACAGTTAACACCTTGCTTTTACCATACCCGGGGGATTAGGCAGCCAGTTGACCTTGGAACCCAGATTTTTTAACTCTCTACGTTTTTGGTTCTTCTCCTCCTTTGTCATCTGGCTCTTTCTTTTATTTCTTTCCTTCCTTTTCCCTGTTTTTCTATTGTTCTCTCTTAATGATGATGTAATGCATCACAACACACACATATGAAGTGCCTTGGGGCGACTCTGTTGTAAATTAATCTGTTGTAAAAATGAATTGAATATATAATGTACCTTCATCTGCCATAGAAATAGTGATTTAAAACCTTATACCGCATGACAAAGGGGAAATTCTAATACAGCAGAGGGTAAAATCTAATGATCTTTTAGAAAATAAATGTGTGTTTCAGCTTCTGTTTAAATTATGGTGTTTGCTGGAGGGTCTGCTGTCAGTGACCCAGGCAAGGCTGCGAGCAGATGGTGGATGTTTCCCTTCCTGTGGAATGCCGATCTCTGGCTCCTTTTGCTTTTAGAGGATGTCTGATAGTAAGGGCTTTTTTGCAATGCTGTTTCCTCTTGGGGGAGTGGCTTTTAATGTTGGGGGCACTCGTGGCCGTCAGTCCTCTGGGGATACTTAAATAACACCGGCAGCGGAAACGGGGATAGCCTTCAAGGAAGCTTAAATTTGGGAGAAACCCACAATCTGGGAAGGTGATCAGGAACTCCAGGCTGCCATGCTAAACCAAATCTGTCTTCAACATCTCTCCAGGCCAAAGCTTTGTTTCCACATGTTCATATGCTGCAGATTCGTACCAACATCCAGCTCTGCTCCTCCAAAATGTCCCTCAGAAAGTCGT